AAATTATCTTATATGATGCATTCAAAAATATCGAATTTCTTTGTGTTTATGGATCTGATGCTTTGAATGTAAAACATATGCTGTCTTGTTGTACTTCCAACATATACATACAGCTGGCATTGCATTCCCATGGTAATTGCACGTATCGAACAATTGCATATTTACTTTATAAATGTAAACATACATGAGGGCGTCTTTCCGAATGTGGCTGGGTTTGTGTCTATATATAAATATGTGGGAGGTGTGTGTATATATAAGGTCTAAGACATCGTTTACAACACAAGGAATTAGTGTTACCTACCCATTATGTCCCCTAACAGTTCGATATCACACTGGCCTGATAGAGGCGGTGCGAATTCTCCTGGCTGTAATTGGTGTTATATGGGCGGCCCCTGGACAACATCCGGCACCACTTCCTCCGAACCGTATAGCCTTATCGCCCAGCTACTCATACGTAAACGTATTAATTATCGATAAATCGAACGGGAAATGACGACTAAATTATTGTGAATTTCACGTATCGATGACTGCGACGCAATAACCTTCCCGAACTACATTAGCTCGGAATATAAACCTGTACCACCTCACTGGCGGACATGTCGTCTGCATTTACCTACAATGTCATCCACAATTACCCATAATTCCAGGCAACACTTACTCCCAATGAGGTAGTAAAATATGTCTTAAGTGCATTTGAATGCGAAATCTTGCTTGTTATGTTCTCTAGCGCCCGCCTATCAACCAAATTGCTTACGTTCTAACACCCATTCTACCATGGCGTAGATATGGCATACCCAGGTTGGAATTGGATTTAGTACTCCTAATATGGTTGGTTTTCTACAGCCGTACTGAGCTAGAATTCCCTTATCTACTGTCGTGTAAAAATGTTGCAATCTTCGCCAGATACAGGCTCTGTTTGAGATCTACTGGATCAATAGCGTGTGTTTAATATTCTATCAATCTGCTAATTGTTATACATCCCACACTGTCTACGTCACAGTCACTTATGTCGCTAACACATTGCTCAAGATACTATACATATATCATTACCTATATCAAGGAAGAAATATGAAAGGTCGATAATTCTGTGATAGGGATTACAAAACAAGGACGAACGTAACGAATAATGCAACGCTGGCCTGTACCAATATCAGCCTGGTCTGTACTAATATCAGCTGAGTCTTTACCAATATAAGCCTGGTCTGTACTAATATCAGCTGAGTCTTTACCAATATCAGCCTGGTCTGTACTAATATCAGCTGAGTCTTTACCAATATAAGCCTGGTCTGTACCAATATCAGCTGAGTCTTTACCAATATCAGCCTGGCCTGTACCAATATCAGCTGAGTATGTACCAATATCAGCCTGGCCTGTACCAATATCAGCTGGGTCTGTACTAATAATAGCTTAGTATATACCAATATCAGCCTTGCCGGTACCAATATCAGCTTAGTCTTTACCAATATAAGCCTGGCCTGTACCAATATCAGCCTGGCCCGTACCAATATAAGCCTGGCCTGTACCAATATCAGCTTAGTCTGTACCGATAATCAACCTGGTGTGTACCAATATCAGCTTGGTATGTACCAATATCAGCTTAGTATGTCCCAATATCAGCTAAGTCTGTACCATTATCAGCTTAGCCTGTACCAGTATCAGCTGAGTCTGTACCAATATCAGCTTAGTATGTCCCAATATCAGCTTAGTCTGTACCAATATCAGCCTAGTCTCTACCAATATCAGCCTTGCCGGTACCAATATCAGCTGAGTCTTAACCAATATCAGCTAAGTATGTACCAATATCAGCTGAGTCTGTACCAATATCAGCTGAGTCTGTACCAATATCAGCCTGGTCTGTACCAATATCAGCTTGGCCTGTACCAATACCGGCTTAGTCTGTACCAATATCAGCTTAGTCTGTACCAATATCAGCTTGGCCTGTACCAATATCAGCCTTGCCGGTACCAATATCAGCTTAGTCTGTATCAATATCAGCTTGGCCTGTACCAATACCGGCTTAGTATGTACCAATATCAGCTTGGCCTGTATCATTATCAGCCTGGCCCGTACCAATATCAGGCGTAAACACTTAACTTGTTTTTTTTCAATTTTGAACGTTCTCGATGCGTCACACGAAAATAAATAAAATAAATGCAATATAGCCTTGCGATACAAATTTGTTTTTTTTCTTCTCTAGAAACAACAAAATTATTAAATATAATTGGACATTTGAACAACCAAGATGGACACCACTTGTAACCAAAATCATTTAACCTTAACAGGTTTGTTTGATTACACAGAATTACGTTTGACAAAGCAAACATGAACAAATCGTTGAAACATATCGTTTTGCCTGGGTGCAGTTCCTACAAAACTTCAAAGTGACCGATGTACAGAACATTTAGACTATTAAGTAACAGAAACCAATACACACAGCGGATGTTTATCCCCGACCAAACACCTATCGATCTAGGTAGGCGTTGTCTTTGTTCTACCGCTACAGTTGTCGTCATGTACTCACTGTTTAATAATAAAATGTTTTGAGTGAAGTGCAGAAGGTAACATAAAGACCTTATTTGAAACAAAACAAGAAATGTATTTTTCACAAAGACCGGATTGGTCGAGTGGTTAACATTCCGGCCTTCCACGCATGATTCGATCCCCGAAGTCGCCGTGTTTTTTCCTGCCCACACAACTCCAACAACCCATGTGGTGTATAAAATGGTCTGGGGTGGATGTTGCGGTATCTGTGCTGAAGCATTTAAGTGAGGTGGCATTATAAATGATACCGTTGGAAGCACGGCCCCACTACAAACATAACACAATGCATCTCCAGCATATACGCAGGCATACGCACATAGGGAGATATTAGCCAGGTGGCATATGACTAGTAGTTAGCGCCTGATAAGGCAGTCCCTGCGAATTCCTGTACTGATTAATGTATATGTTAATTTTATTGATTGTATGCATTTTATATCTATGTACTGTAAAGCACTTTAGAGGGGCTTATTCTAGCTAGATATGGCGCTAAACCAAATTTTGTATATTTATTTTATGTATTATTTTAACAGTATGGAAGATTCTGAGTGGTGACTTTAGCATTGATACCACAATAACAAAACTCTTTTGTCTACTGTCTCAGACAGTGTTTGTTTGCCAGTTATAATTGGTTTACGGCTTGGCAGAGTAAATTATCGACACAACATTATGATATGTTCTGACCGGTTATGAATCTAGGTTACTTCTCCGTTGTCACGCAGATTCGTGGCGGCGACATGGTGATTTTTCCGATTACTTTTCCGGTCACGTGAGTGTTCCGGTCACAAGAAAAACATACCAGCCATTGTTTAACCTCAAAAACTGTAAAGAGACTTTTTTCGTCCGCTATTTCATTCGAACGGTGCCATCAATATTGGTGTGTTTAACGTTAAGCGCCAATAATACTACCGCCATTGTTGGAGTGTTCGAGAGTTTTAAACAAAAGGGTTTCTTGAAAATCCGTGCTCAGAATTAAGGAGACCTTCATAAAGAGTTAGTTGCATGCGCCTTAATTACAGACAAACGGCGATCCGTTTTAGAGTCCAATTCATCTCAATGAATACGTGCGTGTCTTTGACAAAAATATCGTTAATTAGTATTTCACGTGAAGGAATCAAATGCCATTAATGTCAATTTGTACGTTTGCATGTTCTGTATGCGTCTGTGGGAATGGTTTCCTTCTATCCTTGGTTTCGCCATGTCATATGGCTATTTAGTGTAATGTCACCCTCCCTCGGGATGACGATCATCTTTTACGTTCTTCAATGATGCTTCCCTTCATTGGTTTAAAACACCAGTTTTATGATCGGTTGATCATTCTCCATTCTAGGATAAGTGGTTTTGGTGATTAGTGAGGTCCTGTTTCGGCTGATGAGGGCCGATGACCTCCGGGAAGCCAGACACTATTAATGGAGCCACTATGATGATTACACAAGTCTTGTTTTATTTACAGGGTATTGGGAAGTCTGCAACGATAAAACACGACTACCGGAATTTAGACATTTGATAGTTGGACATAAATTTTGGTACTGTGGCAGTGATCTTTGGTACTCGAACTTTGACCTTTGGTACTCGGGCTTTAACCTTTGGAACTGTGAGTGTGACATTTTGATACTCAGACATTTTAATATCTTTGATATTGGGACCGAGATATTTTGTACTTTGACTTGTACCTCTTTTATTGGGACTGGGACATACAGTACTGTGACCTTTGACCTTTGGTACTGGCGCTGGGATAATTTGAACTCGGTTTTTGACCTTTGTCTTTACGTACGTCGTCTCTTGTTTATTCGATTTTGTAATTTAACAAGCATGGTACTAAATAGGACCATATAAGACGATGTCGTAAAATTGATTCCGCCATTAACATGTCCGCTCAAGACACTTCACGTTGACATGGTGATGACTATAGACCACAAAACCCTCAGCGACAGACGGTTTTACTGTCTTCCTGTACCAATGTATACTTCATTTCAATATAAAATAATTAAAGGTAAACACTTGTTCACATCATTGTTACTGTAATGTTGAGCACAAGTAACTTGATAGGGAATGTAGTTGTAGTATTCTTTGTTTAAGGCAAAAGTCTGCAGTTCATAGACAATTCTTTTAACGTTTGTATGTTACAGAAACAACAATTGCAATAGTGTTTTACATCACTTTCTTTGTTTTCAGATATCAAATATAGGTAACGGCGTCCGTTTTTGATATGACATTGGTATGTGTAACCTTGGTGATAAGACGTGTGGATCTGAGGTGTGTCGCCTCGACTACATCTCTAAGGTACTATCGTACTGAAATTATCTTGCACATCTGTACAAACGGGTACATGTCAGTTACATCCACATTATAAGTGTGATAACTGTCAATAAGACATTCCACACCAGCATTGTACTGAAATACTTCTCAGCTTGTCGATACAGGTACGTCAAGTGTAATTGGTGTAATTAAGAACAACTTACTTGCAGCTGTGTATTCAACCAGGAATAAGAATAGCGCCATACATCCGGACAACTTGGGTCCGGTCATGCTGAGTCCGTGCCGTCAATCTGGAACACAACAATCATGGCCATGTAACGTCACAACTCTGACAGGAAGTTATTATACATGTAATACAATGCAATTTTCATTCTAATGGCAGTTGAGTGATTATTTTCGACAACTCCCAATTATGTTATCAGTGTAATGCAGACTTCATGAATTAATAAATTAATCTGAGAATTGTTAAACAACAAAAAACACGACGTCAATGTTGCACATTGTCCGGCATGTTACAGTCAACCTTAACATGAATGGATGGCATGCAATGAAATTTCGATCCGTATTATTAAACATCTTGGTGACATTGCTGTCCACTGTTTTCAAAACCAAATTGTGGCTGATATTTCAGCATATTATAATGATGACAACATTCATCAGAATATATCACAATTTTCGCTTTGCGATAATCCTGTGATGTAAGCACAGTCATACTGAAATAAATACCATGCACCCAAATCTGCCATGGTTCAACGGGTAAATACATATACTTAACGTCTCCATGTGTTACACTCTGCTGGTGGACTGTTTGTCACTGAGGTTGATGTTGACCTTATTCTGGCATGGATAACATAACAAGTTTTAGTTTGAGATTGAAAACTTAAAATGTAACGTTTTAAAGTTGATCCATACTAAATGTTTAAAAAGGTACTCTTTTCCTTCGTATTTGCAGTGATTACTTAAATAATCATATATCCTCAAAATCAGTTTATATTTACCATCGTATGGAATTGCCACTTCATAACCCTACCAAAGCTATGAATGCCATGGACCGTTTGTTGACGTACTCGTGATTATGACATCATAATTGTTACGTTGAATACCACTGACCCTCCCTGGGCGATGACTGTTCTATTCCTAAATGGTAAATATAAGTATTGAATTGCTTTCAGTTGGAATTCATAGGCAATATGAACCCGCGATCCAGTGTAGTAGGGCTAGTGATCGTAGACGGTCAGACGGACATAGAGGTAGAACGTTTACAGCATTCATACACCTACAACTTCAGGCTTGCCTTATGAACGACTGCGTCATAGCTCATTATATGTTATAAATCATCTGTATTTGAAATAAGGTGAAAGTAAACAAGAGCACAGCTGATAAACTGCCTGATCAATGTCTATGCAGTGAGTACTGACACTGAGCAACTGTAGCAAGCCAATTTTCTCTATATATATATATTAAATTAGAAAAAAAAATGGATTTGAAATTGAAAATTTTACAATACCGCTACAACAGGGTTGTTCAGGCGGAGGTCGCAGGTAGCAGTGATTGTTTTATCAGAAAGGACAAAGAAATCAATAACTTTATTGAATATCTGGTATACTTGTAAATAGTGTACTGCTGCGACAGTAACAAGACAGTACGTCGTAGTTTAACCTTCACATATTACCATATCTCCGTGTGACGTTTTACTCCTGAGACAAATGTTTTCGTTTTAACACTTTACCAACCATGCAAAGCAATTTATCTTGGGTTTTTTATTTGAGGTTTTCACATTCATTTCATCTTAATTGACACTGGATTACTTTTCAAAACAAAATATTTAACAATTCTAAATTCCCGCCTTATCGACAGTCCACACAAATTCGTTCAATAGTTTGAACAGCGTATTGTCGCGTGCTGATTGGCAAACAAAGTAGTACTTTGAAAATTTAACAAACACTTCAATTTTATTCCACAATTCAGTATCAATACAATTGCGTATGATATGTTTATAGGGTGCTTAAAGTTTATCAATACAAATCTGAGCTTAAAGTTAGATATGAAATTGTTTCGATTTTTCCAAGGAACAAATTTCGCGCATGACTTACAGTGAACACCCTGAATCTGTGAATCTGACCTTATTACGGGACTCTTGTATTTAGATCACTAATAACAAAGGTACCAGTGTTGTTCAGAACGGTATTAATACCCATGTTGGATAACAAGAATTGGTTACAATCATACTTAACTCCTTAAATTGGATGTAATATATTTGCATTCATACCGCCATGCATGTTTTTTTTAAAATACTTTAAACCCAATAAAATCTGCTTTCATCCGTTATTGTTAGGTCAATAACGAAGAATTAACTTTTTTTGACTTCAAAACGGTCTGTTAATCGCAATTACTATATTTATATGCATCTTATATCCACGAAACATTTCAATTACCATATATATATATCTGTACTGTATGTCTATAATTTCCGGCATTTAAGACACAACGACGCTGTGTCCAAGAAATGTTTTGGGACATGATCTACAATGCGTTAAGTCAGTAAACTTTGTGCATGTAATTATATAATACGAATTGGTTATAAATAAAGGGAAAGTACCAGATGGGATGATTTTTATTTTTTTTATCCAATAAAGTCAATTTATTGTTCAATTATAATGTATTGGCTTCACAAAATCATAACTGAAAATAAACGACCTTGGCTATAAACCACAATCATATTATATTTCTGTTTTAAACCATAAACAATATATATTATAGAAAACCTAGTTACCTACCAAGCACATGATCTGATTTCTCCGACCAGAAGAAACTTGGTTGTAAGCTCGTCATATAAGGATGTCATAAAATTGGTAATCTGGCAAGTATGAAGACGCCACACTACGTATTGGTATACACACGCTGATATTATTTCAAACTATCGCACTAAACTTCAGAACGCCTATTACACTTATTAAATAGCAATGATACACTCAATTCAACATACTCTGTGGTGTGTAGTCAGTTGAGTAACTAAACCAGTTGTAGACAAATCAATACATAATACGGTTACATGATAGATGTGTGCAACATACTAGGTTGTAAAAACAATAACATACAACTTATTCCTACAGAGATAGGTACCAGTAACGCACCTGGTTCGGTTTCATATACGATATCTTGAGTTTATGCATTGTAATTTAATGACAATATATTCTATGAAAATTGAAATTTAACCAAAGATGATATTCGTGACTGAATCATGATATGGCCAAAATATTGAGTCTCGTGTAAGTTCTTCTTTGACATAATATGATGTGGTCCATTATAAACACGTCACTTAAAGAGAAATTCTCCGGCATTTTATCTCAATATAAATAAATATAAAATATAACGTACAAAGTTGCATATTTTAGACACAATTGCCACCACTGTCGGCAAGGGCAATGTGCTGCAATTCATGGTAAAGAACAACTTACTACAAGTTATAGACATGGGCAACGTACTGCAATAGACATGGGCAATGGCAACGTAATGCAATTAATGGTAATATGCAACGTTCTGCAAGTCATGGCCTTACCACACTGTTTTTTCTTTTCCTTTTTCTTTTGACGGTAAATGAATTTAAGTCATTATTATGCTGAACATTTTCAAATCATTTAACAATGAATAGCATTGCTTATGACAACATCGTTGCTCAATAGACATCTCCCATTTTGCCTGAAACGGACCACCGACACCGACACGGACTTCGAACTTAGGGGGATGTCCCGAAACACATAATTTGAATGAAATGGCTAAAACAAACAACAAGCAATTTTTCCTTCTCTCAGTTGTATTAGTTTGTTCGACTAGATGTATCCAAACAATCTGACTCGGCGAACAGCCAAAGCAACACCAACGAGGAAGACGCCAGAGGTATGTACCTATAGCGCGATAGATTTTCATCTGTCGTATCGCGTATTCTACTCTGACCCGGTGTGCGCACATGATTTCATTTAGTTTCAAGTATTTTCTGCGAAGTCGCATGGTCAGCGAACGAAACTGGTTTCTCAGGCTAGCCCGTCCGGACAAATGACGCGGAACAGAGCCGCGGTGGCGATGTCCCTGTCCTCGAACAATGATTTAGAACCGCCTGCAGCTCTGGCGAAGTGACCAAAGAAAAAACTGGCGGACAAGAAAAACGAATCTTTGTCAGAATTATTACTAAATAAACAGAAAGTATATAATAAATGTATAACCAAAAATATCCCTTAAAAATGATTGGTGTTTCGGACACAGACACCGACGCTGAATTAATTTTAAATTTGCTAGAAATAAAATCAAATGTGTGTTGTGAAATTTTTCAAAAACTGTACTTGATGCATATACCAAGTGTTTTATCCAGAAGAATCACATAAAACCACTAGACCCATTAACCTGCAGTCTCTGTCCAATGTCAAATTGGATAACGCCATCTTCTTAAGTACAGCCATTCCCCTCTCATACACAGGGCCCCGGCTTGTGAGAGATTCCAAACCCACGGTCCATATACATGAATATATGTTATATGTATCACACACGCACGCATACACGCACGCATATATGGATTGTGTATTTGTACCAAGTCCCTGTGCTATCATGCATGTACACCATGTTTGCAAACATCAAAACCTGTATATTAACCTATGTATTTATAATCAACATTTGTTAAGTTTATATTTCGAGACATCCCCCAAACGTCGAAGTCCGTGTCGGTGTAGGTGTCCGTGGTCCGTGTCAGGCAACATGGGAGATGTCTAATAACCCTATTAACGAATACCTACCTACATGGTAACTAATATCTACTTACAAAATCACTTATATAAGGATTGAAAGGCAGTTTTTCAGTTTCATTCCGGCATGAACAATGACAAGAACACCGTTCAATCTTTATATTTACATTCGGAATTTTTAGTTATTATTCACCTAAATACATATATATTCCCTTATATTTCCGATATCAAAGTGTCTTTGTCATCAGTGCTAACGAGATTTCTGGAACAGCCGAACGTCACCAAAAGTTTGCATTTAACGGGTTGTCACATGTTATTCGGGACGGGGTGAGGAGCTTCAAATGACGCTGATCAAACTGCGTTTATAGCTCTATGAATGCATTTGTTTACTAGTAATGCTTTTAGAGGAACTTGCAGTAGAAATGATTATATATCTCCTGACACAACTCCTAACACCTCCTTACACAATATCTACTCGCATAATACTTATACTTACAAAATACCACACACCTACACCGAATATCTACTTATTACCTCATATCCTTTTCTAAAATACCAAATAAATACTTAAACAATAAATATTGTCTACTAAGTAATACAAAACGTATTCGCTCGAAATATGAAGAAAAAAACAGCTATTTAGATAGTAAGTAACGTCGATGCCGAGAGCCAAAACAACGTGAACAGTTTTTAAATGCACACTTGCCATTTCGTCAATTTATCCATTCACTTATCAGTATTACTAATCTTCATCAAGAATGAAAATAGATAATATTTCCTAACATAATACCCAGTACAAAGTCACACGATACCCAAAATCTACTGACATACTAAACTTTACTAATAAAACTTCTTTCCAATTATGAGATATACCAACTATATACCCATATTTCCGTTGCAATATGGTTAGAGGCAATGCACCGAATATTGGTAAGATCACGTTGTTGATTGATAACTGTAGTTTGTCTTTAGAAATTCAATATGGAGCGTTTACAGTTAGATACACTAGTGTTAGGACCTGCTAGTATTGACAACAAAATACCAAAGTGTCAACAAAACAAGACTATATCTGAAATGAATTTATAGATTTGTAGTCTATTCATTGCGTTTAGATGTAATCAATACTGTTGGACGTATAAACAATACTCCGTAATGTGTAATGGTTTGCTTGATTCTACCCCAATGTGTCGGAGATACAACGCAAATTGACCATATCCTACGATTAACATAGGCCAGGAACGAACCAGGAAGTTTATCTGACATTTTAACATGCAAATGACATCCAAATACAGAATGTTTCCGCCACTTATCTGGCGAATGCGAAACAGCAAGTCTAGGCTATGAGCGAGCTGTATGGAACGTTAGATCCGGTAAGCAGGTTAAACGCGGATAACGAGCGTAACAATCAGTATGTATTACACTCTATTCATCATGATAAACAAAACAATATCGGAGACTTTCGATAACAGAAATTGTGGATTACAAAATCAATTGATTTACCCATCAAAAAAGCGTTTGATAAGAAATAACGTAAATCTAAAAATCAACTTATTTAGCAATAGAAGAAAGTCATGGCATTGTCTGGGTGCATATTGCTGCTAGACACGAACAGAACGTGACAATACCTCCTACAACCATTAAACAGGTTTCCGTGACTAGACCCTTTACAAACAACGCTTGTTAACATCCAGAAACCCTGTATATTCTACAAGAGGCCGAGTAGGTTACAAAATCAATTGAGCATGGACTGTTTATCAGGAACAAAATAAGAAGTGTCGTTATTCGTTTGGTCAAGTATAAATTCCGTGGTTAATTGAAGAGTGCATGAAATTTCTCCCCAAACGTCAATGAAAACACCAGACTTGGACAGAAGAATATACACAGAGCTTGTGCAGTCTAGTTTCGGTTTACTTTAGTGCATGTATATATAGGACATACAGAACGCCAAATGTTTATATATCTATAAATGATTACTTACCTCTGGTTTGATATGGTCAGTTCAGGATCTGTAGACTAAATGCCCTGGATGTGACTATAGGTATATGCACTGACCCTTCCCTGTGTCGGGTGTGGCCTCCCCAGTGACGTCTGGCTGAGCCAGGTGTAACCTCCCAGAATGAGCAGTAGAGTGACGTGGCGACATGGTGAACTGAGACTAGGATTACGCTCCTATAGGCTAAGCATTATCCCTATACCTGCCGACACTTGCATTCGCTTAAATGAATACGACACAGCAAACCGACAGGCTACGCACCGCCAAGGAGCTCGGAGATATGAGGTACTGGTGTTTAGCCTGAGTCGGCGGAGTACTACCCTAGTACAGGACCTGCACTCTGCACGTCTCTTGCTCCAATGGTAAACCAACGACTTCAAAGCCAGGGCGAAACCGACTCGGTTATGTAGTGTCTTTGCCAAATGTTAGGTCATAAACTAATACCATTTCCCAGTAGTTCTAACATATACGGATACTCTGGGGGTTGGCTGACGTTCCGTCAATGGGGTTTTAACACTCAGGCTGGAAGAGAGTATCGGAGAATAAAATGTGAACGGGCTGGCTGTATTCGGCATGTTGAAGGCCTACTCCCCGTTGTAATTACCGTTGGGAAATAAATCATTCATTATAGAAAAGCAAGCTTTATCATGAAGTGGGGAGTTATGATATAACAACAAGATAATGCTTTCAGTCATAAACACTGAAAATCATTTCTACAAACAAAGGGATCGCAACAAGTTTGTCTTATTTAATTCATTTTTTATAGATGATGAATGCTCTTTTGTTTACAAAAAACAAACGCAGACGACGCGGTCCATAAACGTTATTCAATATAAGTATTAAATGCAAAACCCATAAAAAAATTCACATACGCGAGAGTCTCATATAAAACAAAACGTACAAGATGACTACTTATGATTTCTAATGTTGCCGTTCGATAATAGATCCCGCACATCTCTCTTTAGACGCATATCACACCTACTGATTATTGATATAATAATTGTTCAGATGGATGCACACCTGATTAACTGCACTTCATACGTTGTCGTTTCTTTTACAGTTTAAGGGTTGTTAGTTTTGATGAAAGTCGTATACGCCATTTTCTTTTATACATTTTATATTTTTTGTTCGGTGTCAGGACCTGACGTTAAGTGTGTCGCGACCTTTATTGTAGCGCCGGACGTTAAGTGTGGTGCTACCTTTATTGTAGTGCCGGACGTTAAGTGTGGTGCTACATTTATTGTAGCGCCGAACGTTAATTGCGTCGCGCCCTTTATTGTACTGCCGGACGTTAAGTGTGTCGCGACCTTTATTGTAGTACCGGACGTTAAGTGTGTCACAACCTTTATTGTAGTACCGGACGTTAAGTGTGGCGCGACCTTTATTTTAGTGCCGGACGTTAAGTGGGGCGCGACCTTTATTGTAGTGCCCGACGTTAATTGTGCCACGACTTTTATTGTAGTGCCGGATGTTAAGTGTGGCGCGACCTTTATGGTTGTGCCGGACGTTAAGTGTGACGCGACCTTTATTGTAGTGCCGTACGTTAAGTGTGGCGCGACGTTTATTGTAGTGCCGGACGTTAATTGTGGCGCGACCTTTATTGTGGTACCGAACGCGAAGTGTGGCACAACCTTTTGTATTGTTGTACCGGACGTGAAGTGTGACGCAACCTTTTTGTATTGTTGTACCGGACGTGAAGGGGGGCGCAACCTTTTTTTATTGTAGTGCCGGACGTAGTGCCGGACGTTAAGTCTGGCGAGACCTTTATTGTTGTGCCGGGCGTTAAGTGTGGCGCGGCCTTTATTGTTGTGCCGGACGTTAAGTGGGGCGCTACCTTTATTGTAGTGCCCGACGTTAATTGTGTCCCGACTTTTATTGTAGTGCCGGATGTTAAGTGTGGCGCGACCTCTATTGTTGTGCCGGACGTTAGGTGTGTCGCTACCTTTATTGTTGTGCCGGGCGTTAAGTGTGGCGCGGCCTTTATTGTTGTGCCGGACGTTAATTGTGTCGCGACTTTTATTGTTGTGCCGGACGTTAGGTGTGTCGCTACCTTTATTGTTGTGCCGGACGTTAGGTGTGTCGCTACCTTTATTGTTGTGCCGGACGTTAAGTGGGGCGCTACCTTTATTGTAGTGCCGGATGTTAAGTGTGGCGCGACCTCTATTGTTGTGCCGGACGTTAGGTGTGTCGCTACCTTTATTGTTGTGCCGGGCGTTAAGTGTGGCGCGGCCTTTATTGTTGTGCCGGACGTTAGGTGTGTCGCTACCTTTATTGTTGTGCCGGGCGTTAAGTGTGTCGCGACCTTTATTGTTGTGTCGGACGTTAAGTGTGTCGCTACCTTTATTGTTGTGCCGGGCGTTAAGTGTGTCGCGCCCTTTATTGTACTGCCGGACGTTAAGTGTGTCACGACTTTTTTTGTAGTGCCGGACGTTAATTGTGGCGCGACCTTTATTGTAGTTCCGGACGTTAAGTGGGTCGCGACCTTTATTGTAGCGCCGGACGTTAAGTGTGTCGCAACCTTTATTGTAGTACCGGACGTGAAGTGTTGCGCAACCTGTATTGTAGTACCGGACGTTTAGTGTGGCGCGACCTTTATTGTGGGACCGAACGTGAAGGGGGGCACAACCTTTTGTATTGTTGTACCGGACGTGAAGTGTGACGCAACCTTTTTGTATTGTTGTACCGGACGTGAAGGGGGGCGCAACCTTTTTTTATTGTAGTGCCGGACGTTTAGTGTGGCGCGACCTTTATCGTAGTGCCGGACGTTAAGTGTGACGCGACCTTTATTGTAGTGCCGTACGTTAAGTGTGGAGCGACCTTTATTGTAGTGCCGTACGTTAAGTGTGGAGCGACCTTTATTGTAGTGCCCGACGTTAATTGTGCCACGACTTTTATTGTAGTGCAGGACGTTAAGTGTTGCGCGACCTTTATTGTAGTGCCGTACGTTAAGTGTGGAGCGACCTTTATTGTAGTACCGGGCGTTAAGTGTGTCACAACCCTTATTGTAGTACCGGACGTTTAGTGTGGCGCGACCTTTATGGTAGTGCCGGACGTTAAGTGTTGCGCGACCTTTATTGTAGTATCGGACGTTAAGTGTGTCACGACCTTTATTGTAGTACCGGACGTGAAGTGTGGCGCAACCTTTTTGTATTGTAGTACCGGACGTGAAGTGTGGCGCAACCTGTATTGTAGTATCGGACGTGAAGTGTGGCGCTACCTCTTAGTTTCGTAGTACCGAACGTGAAGTGTGGCGCTACCTCTTAGTATCGTAGTACCGAACGTGAAGTGTGGCGCTACCTCTTAGTATCGTAGTACCGAACGTGAAGTGTGGCGCTACCTCTTAGTATCGTAGTACCGAACGTGAAGTGTGGTTCAACCTTTTTTGCACTGAAGTACCGAACATGAAGTGTGGCGAGAGCTTTTTTGTATTGTAGTACCGGACGTGACGTGTGACGCAACCTTTATTGAAGTATCGAACGTGAAGTGTGGCGCGACCTTTTTTGTTTTGTAGTAGCGGACGTGAAGTGTTGTGCTACGTATTTGTTCTGTAGTACCGGACGTGAAGTGTGGCGCTACCTTTTTGTATGGAAGTACCGAACGTGAAGTCTGGCGCTACCTTTTGGTATTGTGGTGCCGAACGTGACGTCTGGCGCTACCTTTTGGTATTGTAGTGCCGAACGTGAAGTGTGGCGCTAACTGTCAGTATTGTTGCACCGGACGTGATTCTACTTTCTGATTGACGGTAACGTTAACTTGCGTTTAACTGTGATCTGCTAATTTACGAGGCCATGTGAAGCACGCAGCTCTATGTAGATAGAAACAGCATTTCTACTTCTACAGACACACTGTATATGTCATCACCTCTTTATAATGACACTGTTCACAGTTAACCACACGTATCAAACCATCTGCTCAAAGGGCATCCCTGTTATTATTATAATATTGTTCAGTATGTTAAATGTATTTACTTTGTGTCAAGTCACTAAATGAACACCGAGTCTATTGAATTTTCGATTTACATCTATATCCACTCCATTAAATAAAAGATGAACGATATGTTTACTATCTATTTCCGTACGGTTACAAAATTTTCTACTGACAAAACAGCAAAAGAAGTACAGTTGTGGGATCGCACAACGTTACACGATGTGCGGTGTGCGCACAATGTGTGCACGGTGTGTGAACGGTGTGTGCACGATGGGCGAACGATAAAAAGCTGAACGATCATTGCTTGCGCACATATGTGCGCACGATGGACGGACGTTGTGCGATAACAATCGTGGTTGGTGTAAATTGAGGAATGCCTTAACAATTTATACGGTTTCGTGTTTAAACATATAAACTTGATGTTTACGTATGTTTCTATATTCTAGCAACATCTATAAACTTATCTTTCTGTCTATACATTCTTATATTTAGAAATTGTGTTTTCTGTGTTTTTAAACAAACTTAATCGACACATGTAAAATTACAACACAATCCCGTATACAGGTAAACATAACCACTTTGTACATGTACCTGGACCGTAGTTTTCTCCCCGCCTGGGGCACTTACGTAACTCGTCGGGTAAGGCCGGGGGTGTGAAAATCCAGGTGAAGGGGAGCTATAGGCAAACGAATGCAAATAACAAATACTATTCATTACGGTCAAACGGTATCGCATATCAGCTCTGTGTGTCAGGCACTGGTCAGGTAAAACTCCGGACACTCATAAAATTGTTATTTACCTGTTCTGTTACCTTGGAGCCAAACCCATTCTTGACAGCCTAACGGTCGCTGTAATACTGTGTAACACGCATTGTGAAATTGTATAATCTTGATTATTGTGATGAGAAATTACAGATATATACACAGTGTACATTATCGCATACAAGCCTTCCGTATTTTTGTCATTCCGTAATTTTGATCTACAAATGATACCAAATCGCACAGTTGTGCGGAGAGAAGCGCACAACGGGGCGAACGATTGCTAAATCGCACAGTTGTGCGCACCATGTGTGGACGATGTCGGACGGTGTGTGAACGATGTATGCACGGTGTGCGCACGCTATTTTTGGTGCGTTGTGCGGTCCCACAACTGTATATTTGCTGTATCTATACCTAGTTCCTCGCAACATTGTTCAGTAAACAATGCTTACTAACCTTGGGTCCGTGATTCCATGTATATCTATTTTTCTATCGATTACCTCAAAGAAAGGTAATACTGAATTTGCAGCACAGCAGATTTAAGTGCTTCACAACAGTTTCTACAATCCTTTAGACGCCAAGCGTAAACGATCAGCGCCGCTTATCAGACATACAATGTCATTTCCGTTTCGAGTGTTCAGATCCATCGCTTC